GCAGAACCACCGCCAACGACAACAGCAGCAACAGCAGCAACAAGAACAAATAACATTAATACCAGCAGCAACAAAGAACAACATGAGCAACACTTAGACACATAGTCATAGTCAGTCGAATGTATCCATTGCCCAGGCTTGGTGCTGGCTTCCCGAGCTGGCACATTGGTCATGGCTACCGGGGGCGAATCGAAACAACCCGGGGCCAAATCATGCGTGAATTGAGAGACCAAGTATATGTCCGCATTATTGGTAGCATTTCATGGGCATTCACAGCTTCGGAGCTTAACAGACTTCGCTTTGTGGTCAACGGGTTCCCGCTTGCGAGCCAGCACATGGATGTGTCGGTGGAAAGAGTCGTGAACAACCCGAGGGTGCTTCAGTTAGACGCGGACGATGATTCCATCACTTGGCCTCACAGCAGTGATTCGGAGCTGTAGGAATGCAGTCAGAGCAGCCCTTAGTTTCTTCCCGTCCGAAAGAGAAAGAAGATGTCTTGTTTTGAAATGCAGCACATGAGTCAAAGGGGTCGCAAGGTGCGTCAGCATTCCAGTTTGTTTGCAGTGCGGCGTCTGTTCATTTAGCTTTTTCTTCAAGGACCAGCGTGACAAAGTGAGCAGGAGCAGATAGGCAGAGCCTGGACTTAGGAACGTTGCAAGCCTCAAGTTTTCATGTGTCGTCAAGTCATAACTGCAGGGCGCTGCAGTCATCGCATGTCAGGCCTGCAATGGCCCCAGATGGCTCATTGGTCATGGATGTCATGGATGCAGGGAGGGAAAGCAGGTCAGCCAAGGCGTGTATGAAGTGAGGGATGAAGTGTTTAAGTGTGTGCGTCTCATTCGTCATTCGCAGCTCCGGAGCTTAACAGATTTATTTGGGTGGTCACCAGCAAGAGGAGGCCTCGAGAATCAAGCACCGTGGACCCTGTGAGTCATGCAAAATGCTCCCGTGTTTTGCTGGCTGGTCGCTTCATCAACTGCAAGAGTGCGGTATGGTCGGGCAGCATCTGCTGAAAATCCGCAGTCCACAATGCCACGGCTTACTGTGTGCACCAGAGCAGTACAGAAGGCTCTAGAAGACCTGTCTGCAGAAGCGCCCCTGCTCAAGGCGATTCTGCCAGTTGCCTTTGCGACAGAAGCACTGCCGCAGGAGCCCGAAAAACGTGCGGCTGCCTGGGCTGACATGTTAGGGCCATTGACTGCGAATGTTGTCGGAGCTTGCCTGCTGAGCCCGATGTTTATCGAGGCTGTGGAATCTGTCCTTTCGGACAGCAGTGAGCAGGTCCGAGACTTCTGGTCTTTGACCAGGTATTGGCACGAACCGTTTCTGCATTTTAAGGTCATGGAGCCTTGCATGCTCCAAGCTGTCGTTGGCCACAACCATGCCCGCATCGGGACCAGATCTGTTGGAATTGAAAGCAAGTGGTTTTACCACATGCATGATGCCGGATTGTCGAGACACCAAGGCTTCTTGCCGCACAAGTTGCAGCAGCAGGCGACATCCCTTTGCTTCAAGCTTCCTGCTCCTCATGCTTTGCTTCTAGCCTCCGGCCGCTGGGCTGAGTACTGCTTGCCTGTTGTGCGATCAGGTCGGTCTCGCAGCTTTTCTGCAGGCGCGGCACTTCTCCAAGCTCTGCCACTGCCACCCCAGCCTGCTGCTGGGCAACCGGAGGAGAATGCATTTGCAGTGCCACACGTTGATGTGTCCTATCTGTCTCAGCTCGCCCGGTCCGCGCGTCGCCTTTTGAATAGCGAGAGACAGATGAGTGCTTCGGAGCTTGCGGAGGCCCGGCAACACGTGCGGAGTTTGTTGGCTTGGCGTGAGTCCTTGCTTGTCGAAGAGTCACGCATGTCCCAGCGTGTTTACTCCATGCAAACCTTGGTTGAAGCTGTCCTAGTGAGTTCGCGACTGCGCAGCGTTGTGGACTTGGGGGATGTTTTACGCCATGGGATCAGGCTAGTTTTCAGGGAGGAGGGTATCTGCCGCTATTTCCTGTCGATGCTTGAACACAAGTACGCCGTGCCTAAAAAGTCCTTTCTCACGAAACACAGACTCACTGTCATCATCGCATACGTGAGGGCTTTAGCAGAAGAGGTTGATGAGTTGTTGGACAGCAACCGAACCCGCACCGGTGAATCCATCGTACGGTGGTCCACGATGGACAGCTCTCCACAGAAAGGGTTCGAGTGGGTCATGCAGGGGCATCGGTGCATGGCTGTGTCAGAGCTGCCAGCTGCGGTAGGCAAGGCGGACTTGCTAATCCATGGTTCCCTTGACCCGAGCACAGAGCAGCACTGCCGACAGTTCCTTGCCGCGCGTCTCTTGATGCGTCCTTGCTTGCCTGCTGCAATAGGTTCCGCACGCGCGAGTGTGGGCCACAAAATCCGTGCAGCCGCACACGCAGAGCGTGCTGCCTGCAATTCATGGCAGCAGAGCGCTCATCTCATGAACAGCACATTCACAAGGACAGGTGATTTGGGGGCTGAGGCTCACGTAGTAGGATGGTCAGGCAAGCTAACCGATCTCTGTGGCGATTGGATCAACAAGGAGGAACGTGAGTCTGAGCCACAGTTTGAGCTCGAGCCTTTTGATTTTATGAGCACGGATGGAGGCTCTTCAAGCCGAGCCGAGCCAACAGCAGAGGGCGATGAGGACGCTTTTCAGTTCCACTCTGACATGGTTCAAACACGTGCCGATGTAGCTGCAGTTGTAGGCCCCAGCCTGCATCTTGATTTCAGTCCGCAAATTTATATTGCAGGGCTGCTGCACATAGCCCACAATATCTCCAAAGACTTGCACCAAGCGCTTGACCATTGGCCTGTTTTTGTAGAGCAGCTGACTCAGGTCTGCAAACTGCTTTCCCTTCGGATTTCCCGCCAACGTCTCCTCGAGACTTGTTTTGCAGAGCCTCCCTGGTCAGCATTCCAGGCTCGCTTTGAGAGTTTCAACGCTCAAGTGTATGGGGGCCGCTGGAACACAGCGATGGAGGCTGTGGAGGACTTGCTTCCATTGATCCAGATCTTGCGTCGTGCCTGGTCTGCCAGCAAATTTGGTGTCAAGGGACCAGACCGGGACGGTGAAGAGCCGGACGGTGACAAGTCTCGCGTGCTGTCTTTGCATGTGGTGGATGAAGCGCTGAGGTCCAGCATGTTTCTTGCATACCTACATGCCATGCACAGAGTCGCGGAGTGCCTCTCTCACATTTCGCATTGGGCAGAGAGTTGTCCTTGCGCAAGCCACAGTTCCGACAAAGCTGCGCAAACTTGCCCCTTGAGGAGCTCAAGGGCCCCGGAGCTGGCTGCAGGTGCCCTGCCCCTTCTTGTGAAGAGCAGCTTCGAAGTCGCGCACGGCCACTTGCTGGCCCTAGAGGAGACCTCGCGCCTCACAGCAACAGAGCTGCGGACACTGGTCAGTGATTGGACAGCAGCTAAGAGGCATGTTTTGTTGCTTGTGCAGTTGAAGCTTTCCCATTGGCAGCAGCTTCCTTACATTGCCTTCGGTATGGGGCACCATTGTCCTGACACCCGTCGCAAAGCAGCTGCGCAGACGCTCCGTCTGTATGATGCAGCGAAGCAGAATTCAGAAAAACCTCAGCTACACCCGCTGTGTGAGATACTCTGTGCCGCGCACTCCGCTTGCCGCCGCGACGTGGAAAGACTGGCTTCTGGCGTGACTGCCTGGAACCAACTCCCGACGCTGAAGGTTTGGGCAGGCAAGTTTAAGTTCACGCCTGTTGCGGAACGCTGGGTCGAAGGGCTCCATGCGGCCACCAAGAGATCTGTGCGTGCAGCTCCGCACGCAGGCCCAGCACACATTGCTTTTGAGTTCATGTCCCCCCATTTGCGGATATGGTTGCGGGAGTCTCCAGAACGGCTTGCACTGCTTGCTAAGCATTGCCGCTGTACAGCCCACCCTCTCAAGATGTGTGATGCAGCCGGGCTCAAGCACCATCCTGGCATTGAAGCTCTCCTAGTGCTTTCTTCTTCTGGTAAGAAGAAGATCCTGCCGCCAAAAGCCAGAAAGCAGGTGGTATCGATACTTTTCCATTGTGACCCTGCGTCCCACTTCCGTGCTCTGCCGCCGGAATTGCTTTCAACGGAGAGAGCGGCCTTACCGACGATGGGCCCTGCATGCATCTTGTCGCAAGGCGCAGTTCCCGAGCAGTGGAAGCAATGCTGGAGCAAGTATGCACTCCAGCACCTGAGAGCATGCATCACTGACACTGCCATGGAACTGACAGGAAGTTCTGGCAAAGCATCCAGCATTTACTCCGTTCATAATGCAACATCCCCAATTCCACTGTCCAGGTACACTTGCACGGCCTGTCCGCAACTTGAGCAGGACAACAGCCCAGAGTTTCAGTTTGTCTCCCAGTCTGTAGACTTTGCCGCAGCACAAGAAGCACGCTCCGATCGTCTCTCCCCCGGCCTTCCTCAGGAATGGCTTTTCTTCCGACTAGCGCACTCCAATCCAGGCCGCGTCGTGTACGTGCCTGGCACGGCCCCATTACAAGGGGAAGGCCAGCTGATCATTGAGCAACTTCCGCTCTTGCACCTGTCACATGCCAAGAGCAAGGCTTCGGTTGCTGTGGAAGGCCAGGACCAGGACACGGCGTTGTTTGTGCTTTCAGCGGTGGCATGTACGCCTGAAGACTTGCTCGGCATTCATCAGTGGCAAACCGACGAAGCTCTCCAGATCAATCTGGAGGCTACTTTCCTTGCATCTGTAGGTCTAGCTGATCGAGAGGTGTTGCAAACTCTGCTGCAGAGAGTCGTCGCCCAAGATGCTTTTGCGTTCAAGGACAGAGGCAGAAGTATCAGTCTTGAACATGACGACGCAGGATTTGACTCCGAAGCCAATCGACCCCTAGTCATCGCGCGACAGATGGCTGCAATGGGTGTCTTCACCTGCCTTTCTGCAGGTGCAGAGTCCAGTGAGTGGCAGCTGACACGAGCTGGCTTGGAGTCTCTGAGCCTGAGCTTCAAGCTGCACGATCCCAAACCTGTGATAGTAGCCCCAGCAGCAGATACCGTGACGATCAGGTCTGCAAGCGAGATGGCAACAGTTCAAATTTTGTTGTTTTTGCAGAATCAGGGGTGGGAATTTTCGGTCCGATGCAAGGGCGACAAACCTCGCTGCCCTGCTCCGTACCGATTCAGCACAGAAGACTCCCCGAAAGTTTGCTGGTTACATCACACCCAGAAGTCGCTTTGCCATGAGTACCTGGTGGCATTAGCTACTGCAGCCGAGCATCTCAAGGAGGTGCCTTACTTTCAGACCAAGGCTTTCTACGCTTCTCTTTTGTTTGGTGGAGAAGAGGGCCACCAGAGCTCCAGAAAATCATCCAAGCGCAAACGTGCAGGTCGCAACGCAGAGGGGTTTGCATTTCAGGAAATGTATAATGCTTCCATGCCAGACCAGGTTCAGTCTGCCCAGGCAGCTCCGAAGCGGAAAGCCGCTGCTGCTCGCGGAGGCAAGCAAAGAGGGAGGGGGCGGAAAAGTCAATCACGAGGTCCTGAGGCTGCAGACCCACCTGCAGAGGTGCAGGACACAGAGGAAGCAGATGACGATCCTGTTGTGAATTTCGAGGACGTCAGTATTTCCTCGGATTCTTTTGGTGACATGCAGGTAGACGAAAGCGCAGAATCTGGCAGAGGCTCTGAGCGTGCTTCAGGGTCTAGTTCAGGTTCTGGTTCGGGCTCAAGTTCGAGCGATTCTAGTTCCTCTTCAGAATCAGATCGTGCAGCTGCTGTGGCTGACGCTTTGCCAGCAGCACCAGAGGCTCCTGTTCCCGCCCCAGCTCCACGTGCACCAGGGGGTTCGCATTCACGTGTACTGGCTGACACCACCTTCTTTTGGAAGGGCAGCCGCTTCACCTTGGTCAAGGCAAACGGCATCGATGTAGGACTCAGCACACAGTGCAACTGCCAGGCCCACAAGAATGAGAAACCCAAGCTATGCGCACGCAGCCTCCGCTTTGCGCGCCACGAGGGTCCAGAGACAACGGAGAGAAGGTTGAAGTGGTGGTTGCTGCAAGCTGCTGCATACCCGAACCGGTCTGATCATGTGAACTTGTGCCCCTACAAACCAAGTGCAGAGCCTCTGCCGACTCTAGCAGAACTGGATGCCAGAAGCATGCCCGGGTGATGCCGAATTGCCGCTTGGCTGCCATGGGCCTGCTCCTGACTGCTCTGCTCTCATTGCTTTTCGACTGCTGCTGCCTGCAGCTTGAGCTGCTTCCTGTCTGGTTGTCGATTGACGCTTCTTGCTTGGTTTCAATCTGCAGACTGGTAAGATTGTAGCCGAGACAATCCATGTTGTCAATATTCCATGATTCCCTATCAGAAGTCTCCAGTCTCCCTCTCCCTTCCTCTCTCTCTGGCTCTCTCTCTCTCTCTCTCTCTCTCTCTCTCGCTCGCTCGCTCGCGCTCGCTCGCTCNNTCGCTCGCTCGCTCTCTCTCCCTCTCTCTCTCTCTCTCTCTCTCTCTCTCTCTCTCTCTCTTTCTTTCTGTCTTTCTCTCCCTCTCTCTCTCGCGCAAGTCTTCTGCATTCCCTGGCTCCTGTCGCCACCATTCGAAGACGGTTTAGGGTTTTAGGGCTTACGCCTTAGCGCTTAGGATTCGAACAGTTGCCGAAAGTCTCCCTTTGTTTGAAGATTTCGAGTCACTTTGAGAAGTTTGAGAGACAACACAATGCTTTGCGTGCAGCGTCATCCAATGTTTCGAGCGTTGCAGGGATAACATAAAACAGTGCTCAAGCTTGAGGGTCTGTGAATCAGAACGCTGTCCACGTGCCTTGGCTGAGGCTTTCCTGCAGTCCGATGGCGTTTTGGACGGGCCGCACTCCTTCATCCTCCACAAGGCGCTTCCAGAGATTGCTTCCTGCAGCTCCGCAAGAGGGCTCTCAGTCAGCAGTCACGATCCATGTCCGTAAGTCCCGGTCTCGGAGAGTGGTTTCGGTTGGCATTCAGGCAAGGTTGTTGCAGAGCTGGGGCCTGGAAGTTGACGGGATGGAGGCTTCAAACTTGTAACTTCATGCTTGTAACTTGTAATGTCATAGTTGGCCGGAGCAGACAGCATCATGGCGCGTAGGTCATGGCTCACGACAGATGACATGCAGTGCCGGTTCCAGACACTGCCGCGCAGGTCGTGGCACAAGCCTTGTGTTGTTGGGCAGGGCCTGTAGTTGGAAAGGAAATTTCCAGAGTCAGGGACACGAGGTAAACGGTGAAATTTTCCTGTCAGCACTGTCAAGATAGCTCAGAAGCAGTGCCTATAACGCGGCTTGGTAATCAATAGCCCGGCATGCGTTGTGACTTGTCGCACTGGTGGCCGCGCTCCAGCCGTCCTGCGCCGGCAGCAGGGCAGTTCAACCACGTGGCGGTGAGAGAGGCTCCGAAGCCGCCGCTCTCACCGAGACCACGGCCACCTACACCTCCGATGCCACGGAATGGACACGTCAATGGCAGCACAGGGTCGTGGAACTGGCCTGCTCAGCAAGAGCGAGGCCGTCGTGATCCGGAAGCGCTTGACAATAGCCGCCAAGTGCTTGAGAACAACCCGGGCAGGGCTGTGGACAGAGGAGGATCACGGCCAGTGGTGCAAGGTGAACAGGGGCTGAAGACCGGCAGCTCGAGTTGTTGAGTTGCAGTGTTGGTTCTTTCTCGTCTTAGAGTCTTAGAATCCTAGAAGTTTTATGTGTCTTTTATTTTATAANNCAATAGAATAAACTCAATAAATCGTGTGAGAGCACAAACCAATGTCGTATGTTGATGGCCCAAAGCCCTGAAAACTCTGTTGCCTTGAAGCCTTAGCCTTAAACCAGACCTTTGCAAATCCCGACTATGACCATAATACTATAATGCGCTTTTCCGCATGTCGCACCCCCTCTGCCGTGAACTGCTGTTACCTCCGCATCCGAGGTGAGGCAGTGACCAAGACCCAGATGGCAGATGACGTACCCAGGGCGACCAAGGTGACCTTGCTACCGCGGACAGGGATGAGTTTACCCACGGCTATGCCAAAATCGAAGGTCAAGGGATCCGTGGGACCCATGCCAAAGTCGAAACCCAAGGGATCCGTGGGACAGATGCTGGACAGGCGACAGCATGAGCAGCAGGTCTGCGACGAAGCTTTGCCTGTGAAGGCGAAGAACAGACCTGGCAAGAAAGAACGGGAGCGGAAGAGGAAGCAGATGAGCTCCGATGGCTCAGAAGGTTCTTGGACTCCAGTGTCCTTTGCATCCGCCAGCAAGCGGCCTTGCTCGAGTTCGGGTCCACGGCCTTGGGAGCTGTCGCAGATCGGCAGCATGCTCCCGAAGACAGCGAAGACTCCTGGCTTCAAAGTGAAAAGGGAGTTCACTTATGACCCCAAGAGCGGCAATGTATGCCACTTTGCGGAAAGTTTCGACACACGGTGACAATGCTGCGTTGTCGTGTGTTGCATGCGCTATGCGTTCCCGCCTGGGCTCACATGAAGAAGCTCGGCGGAGTCCTTTTCACCTTGCAACCTTGTTGTTAAAGCCTTCAAGCCATGCTGTGACATGAGTGCCGAGCCTGCAACAGTGGAAGCTTTGGGAAAATCGATGGCCTCACCTGTACATCAAACAAATCCCTTAAAGTCTCAAACCCACACACCCACCTCTGCCTTTGCCCACGGAGGTGCCGCATCAAGTCAGTCTTCGATTCTTCAATGGTTTCAGTGCTGGCCTGCGCAAGGTGCTCCTTCAGAGTTTGGTCTTTCAGACTTTCAGATCAGTGACCAGAGAGCCGTGTGCCCTAGACGAGACCTTGCAGCGCTGCATCCGTTGCCCATGCTCCATACTCCATAAGCCCAAAATAAATCCACAAGTGGATCCCCAGGCCCCCTTCAAACTCGTGCCTTCAGTTACAAGTTTGAGTCTTTCGGGTACTTGTTCCCATTGCTGCCGGCATAGGAGGGCCCAACCTCTGGAAAGTTGAAGCCTTTAGAGTGTCGCAGGTGTTGAGCACAAACATTCTCCTCTGTGACAGAGGCCAGAAGCAGTGTCCCGGTGATGGGGTTTGAAGTAGTTGGAAGTGTAGAGGATTGTGGGATTCAGGGTTCAGAGTGACTTAGACTACTGCATGGCAATATTTCAATTTATTTGAAGTCTTGTGGCAACCACTTCCAGTTTTGAGAAAGCTGGGTTGTTTCAGGTTATGGTTCAAAATCAATCTTTGCCTACTCCCTAGGGCCGAAAACCTATACTCTAAACCGTGCCGCTGCAAAATTGTGGAGTTCGCTAGCCGCAAGCCAATGACCCTTTCACCATTCGGCCTTTAAGATTTGCAGACCTCAAGACTTGCAGGCCAGTCTCAGAGGACAGGTCACAGGACTTATTAATTCATTAATAGTATTATAGTTTATTATAGCCTTCAGGCCTTGGTTCCTGAGACAAACAATGTTGAACCACTCGAGTGTTTGTTTTGCGTTTGCATAAGAGCATGTCCCACAACCTGATTCTATGGTCTTGTTTTTGGATGTTTTTGGCAGTCTTTTCGGTTCACACTATCTATAAAATACAAAGCATAAGCGGTTTAGGGTGTAGGGCAGTATAGGGCATAATAGGGCTCTGCGATGTTGAGTCATTAGGGGTGGGATTGGGTAAGGGGCAGGCCTAGAGTCAATAAAAAGGGGAGTCCGGGTTTCACCGAGGCTCTGATTTATGGGCCAAATAGCCACTATTTAGGATCACAAGGGTTCTATTAAAGGGTGCTCGCGGGGATCCTGGTAAACTCCAAACTTTGGGTCGGCCCCAAACTTCCCTAAACCCTAAGCCAAAAACCTTAAACTCTTTAAACCCAAAACCCTAAACCCAGGAGCCACAGCCTACCTCGACTCCGGGCTGCACGAGATGGAGAGGCCGGAGGACGTTTGTCCCCAAGGGTTTAGGGGTGTAGTGGCTTAGGGGGTGCCGGCTTCGGGCTTTTAGGGGTTAAGGGGATCTGTGCTTCGGACTCCTCGGGTGTGGGCGTACCCTAGAAAGGCCCTAGAAGGATGTCAGAGTTCATGGACCATATAGTCACACAGGGCTTCGTGATAGAAGGGTAGGGCCCCTAACCCTAGACCTTAAACCCTGAACCCTAAACCCTAGCCCTAGACCCTGTACCCTATAAACACCTCCTAGACCCTAAACCCTACACCCTAGACCCTAAACCCTAAACGCTAAGCCCTCAACGCCCCCTAGACCCTAAACCCTACAGTCGAGGGCGGCATGTGGATTGGGGTCCTGTGGTTCAAGACTTACACAAAGGATTCTGACCATAGGGTAGGTAAGGAAAAGGAAGCACCAGCGGCCACGATGATGCGCATGATGCTTGCGTATACAGCGATACAGCGCGCGTGCTACGGAGGGACAGCAGCGTTCATGCACTTTTCGGTTTGGTTGGCTGCATTTTCAGCATTTTCTTCTGGAATTCGAAAAAAAACCGTGCAGCGGCTGCAAAAGCTGGAAATGCATTGCCCAAAGCCGCCCGAAGCCGCCCGAAGCCGCCCGATGCTGCCCGATGCTGCCCGA